CATGGTCTCACCATGCAAAGGGGGTAAAACCTTAATCTTGTCTTCAGTGTCTCTGGAAGTCAATGTAATGCTCTTCCAAACGAGCATGTTTTATTCTATCATTTGACATAAATGCACTCTTTCTCCTTCTGAGTGAACATTGTGGTGAGATAATACCACATCCCACTGTGTTTCAGAAGGAAGCGTCTGTGCCGGGATTGAGCCTAACCGTGGTTGTCGCAAAGGTGGTACCTCTAACGTGGATTCTGAGTCCTCAGCCACCGGACGCAGTGCTAGAAAAACACCAGCTCCCACTGTCTCACAGTCCAGATCCAGAGGTTACTGACATTCCACCGCCAACCTAGCATTTCGTAGCGTGACCGGTTAGCAGAGAGACTGAAATATGAGTAAATGGAGATAGGTTTTGTCAACCAGCAGAAAAAAGAAAAGGAGGAATTCACAATCTGGAGTATCCAGATATCACTTGAAAATAATTATAGATTCCAAGACTCGGAGGTAGAAGATATAATTTACCCTGAATTAATTCCAGCTGTTGGAAGACTCCCTGATGGTTAAAATCTTTTTCTACTACAAATCTGAAGCCAACATGCCCTTTTTGTTAAATGTCATCATTAAATATTTATTTTTCATTTTGCCTGTTCTTTTTCAAGAACTGAGAAAACCCTGGTTAGTCCTTTTCCCTTTTATAATATAAATTGAAGTGTGACCTTGAGCTCCAAGCGACAGTTGAAGTCTTTGACAGCACTTGGAAATACTTATTAATATTAAGCATTAATTTTTTTCAGGAGTGTGTGTCTAGAACCAGAATGTGGGTGTGTACAGACCACTGGGCAAGACACATTAATCCCACACCCCTCCCCCATCATATGCCATACAGGAAACCCAGCATGATTAAGTAGCCTACAGCTTGAGAGACGGACCTGAATATAAGCCATTATGTGGCCCCTCCCACCCCAGTGATTATTTGATCGACCAACAGAACAAAAGGGGTCCTCATGGCCACCGGATAAAGACAGACGATTCTGCATTTCAAGGCTAGACTTTTCCAGGAATAATGCTTTACCTTCAAGCACTGCTGGCTGAACAGCTGCATCTAAGTCTTGGCTTCATGTGTAGCAGTTTGAGTCCAGTGGTCTGCTAAGCTTCTCCGTGCATATCCTTTGAAAGCGATCATTTGCACACAAACTTCAGGCTGAAGAATCTATGATGTTACCTCTATCCTCCTGCTTTCACCCAACTGGCTCCTCCTTAGACTCGTGTCTTCAAAGGGAGAAAGCACCTAACACTACAAACCTAAACATGTGTTCCTCTTCCTATCACCTCTCATTTTTTGTCTCTGCAAAACAGGATATAATTAAGAGAGGAGACTTTTTGGTGTCTGTCATTTATAAATATAGAGCATGCCTCATGAATACATGGACAAGATAAAATGCCCAGTTGGTCCGGTCCACTGGAACTTTTTGTGGTGATGGCATGTTCCCACACAGCCACTACCAGCCACCTGTGTCTATGAGCACTTGAAATGTGGCTACTGCAATTAAGGAAATTGAATTTTTAAAAAAGATTTTATTAATTTATTTTTAGAGGGGAAGAGAGGGAGAAAGAGAAGGAAGCATCAATGTGTCGTTGCCTCTTGAGCGCCCCCTGCTGGGGACCTGGCCCACAACCCAGGCATGTGCCCTGACTGGGAATCAACCAGCTACCCTTTGGTTCATAAGCTGACGCTCAGTCCACTGAGCCACACCAGCCAGGGCAGGAAACTGAATTTTTAATTTTACTTTCTTTTCGTTAATTTTGATTACATTTGAATAGCCTCATGTGGCTCTTAGCAACTTACTGCTCTCTGCAGGTCTAGAGAACATGGCTCCTCCACCACCATTTCCTGTATCCTATTTCTCCTAGTGCCTCCATCTCTGGGAGCTGACACTGATTTTTTAAGAAACGGGACACAGAATGAAATTAAACCTGTCCCAGTCAATGTGCTTGGCTGCTGCACACAATCGATGCTAGCTGACTTACACACAAAGACAAAAATGGTTTTGCAAGTATATAAGCCCCCCGCCCCCAGAACCGACAGGGAGTCTGCAGACTCGAGCCTGACCTGACACGGATAAATCTGATGCTCAGCCAAGATCTGGCATCAAGAACAGTCCACCCAGGATGCCAGCGCTGGCCTTGACAACACTGGACGCTTGCCACCGCACTGCAGGACTCCACTGCCCTTGGCCACTCTCTGCTCTCCGCTGACCTCTCATTCCACAACGGCCACTTCTAATAGCCTAATCGAACCCGCGTGCCGCTGTGCCGCCCCTGAGAGAACGCGCCGGTCATGCGGGGGGCTACCTGCTCGCCTTGTGGGTTCTGCAGACCCTTCCTTCTCCCCACGTCTGCACAGGGGAAGAAGGTAGTGTAGGCAAAAGCATTCATTTAAAGGAAAAATTCCAGTTCTATCTCTAAAGAGATTAACTCTAATACAAACTGTAAAGAAGTGGGAGCAGAATCAGAGCCATTTGCTAACTAGAAAAATGCTCTCTTAATTCTTTTCAACTTTCTGAATATGGTTTTATTAATCATTAGCTCTTGAATTATAACATAACATTATACAATTATAATTATAATTAGTTATAATTATGTAGCATTCGTCACAAAGTTATAAATCATAATTTCTAATTGGCTTGGTTAAGCGAAGGGCTGACGCTATTGAAATCTCTTTGAAAACGCGGCAGGAGAGCTGGACTGACTGGTGCGCACCTGCCACCTAGTGGCCAGAAGGTTTGTCAGAGACAGCTTTTCCCATTTTAGCCATTTTCCCAATGTTTTCAGCCAATGAACCCTACGTTCCTTAGGCCTCTGCACTGTACTCTATTCCCCTCTAGGTTAATGGAAAACCAGAAATCTCGAAGAGGCGAGGAGTATCTTACTGCTACATTTCCCCCCACGTTCCCTAAACCAAGGTCCCTCTTCTAAGGCTGCTTTTATTTTACCTGTGTCTGGAAACGTGTGGCCTGGGCATGTTAGTATTCTCCCACGGAGACTACCTTGGCGGCCACTATTGGGAAAGTGCAGGTAATGGTGGAGTCCCTGATATGGGCTGCTGACTTCCAAAGGGATTCCCTACCCCGCAAAGGAGGGAGCGCTTTAAGAAAACAGTGAAAGAAGACCTGTCCGTGTTTTCACAGACCACGCCAGTAAGAATGGGAGCGCTGCAAGTGGAAGAGCAGACCCAGCCCTCAGCTTCATCCCTTCCAATCCTCGTACAATTCGAAGGCAGCTATTGTCAAGTGCCATACATACCCTGAGAGCGAAATCAACACAATTTATCACACATCCGAGACTAATAAAACTGACCTTGTAGTCAAGGATGCAATGCTTCCCTTTAAGAATGCTTTCTTTTTTCTTTCCTTTTCTCTTCTCTTCTCTTTTCTTTTCTTTTTTTTCTTTTCTTTCCCCCCTCCCCTGGCCCCGAGAGCAGGTTCAAAAGAAAGCAACTATGGAACGAGTGACCTGAGACAGTGTGTGTGTGTGGCAGATGGTCTGGCTGAAAGGAGGAGATGAGGTTGGTGCAGGCAATAGGACTGGAGGAGGTCTGTGCTCCCTGCAGATAGGCTGGGTTCCTGGGCTTGGCTCACCTGCTGTTCTCGATTCAGACCATGAAAGGGAGTAAGTGAAAAACTAACCTGGATCTGGAAGTCAAAGGGAAACTGGGAGTATTCATCTTGATGACAAGATACATGTGAGGTTCAGGGACTGCAGTGCCTGGGGGAGGGGGCAGGGGCTGGTTCAAAGTCCAGCTTGGCTGGAGGGAGAGAAGGATGGAGTTTCCTTCATGGGAGCTGGGATGGATAACAGGGTTTTTTAAATTTTCAGAGGTGAATGACTTTGATAATTTACTGAGTGGGTGGAGCACCCAGGCAGAGGCCTGTAAGGATGGAATTGCGGCTCTTAGGGCCAAGGAGGGCCAGGTGGGGGGGGTTCTCTCTCCTCTTCCCCGATGCTCCCTTCACCCTCCCACACGCCAGGGTGCCCCCTTTCTCTGCTTAGTGCTGCCCTCTCCTTCCATGTCTGTGGCTGACTCTCTTTTCCATAAAAGGTTGTAGCAGTTTCACCAAATTATTACACAAAAGTCACAATTTGTTGTGATTTCTGAACCTCTGAAGTTGGTGCATGAACCTGTACTTCTCTCTGAGTCTCGAGTGAAGTTGCTTTGTAGTTGTCTATGACTTCCAAATTGCTTTCCTGTTGATACACAGCTCTAAGTAATAATTTCAAAAAGTCAATGGCTCTCCATTCCTACAAATTAAAGTTACTTTTCCATTCTCATCAAAGTCTAGTATTTAGAGACTGGCTACTCACCAAAAAGCTAACATGTGTACACCCATACCATGTCTGTCTAATCAGTGACCATGCAGAGAAAAACCCTATCATTGTGTGGCTTTTGAGACAATTCTTCCTGAGTTCGACTTAAAAAAAAAAATGAGATACCCTTGGAGAACTCAGTAACACCAGCACTCTTAAAATGGTTAAAAATAGGTTGCAATTATTCCACAAATATTTATAATACGTATGAACAATTCAATAACATTTTACATACCTAATAAAAAACATGTAGCCCCCTGCAAAAATGTTACACCTGCATATTCTCCCCAAAGGGTAAAGAATGTGAACACCGTGGAGAATGTCACTGCTTTCTGACCTCAAGACCCGGTCAGGCCATGAGGTCAGGCCATGAGGTCAGGCCACGAGGAAGGAGAAAGGCAGCGGGGCGCCCGCCCGCCCGCAGCATCCACCACCTAGAGAGGCGCAGCTTGCGCTCCTTCCACTCCGGGCAACGGGAGCCCTTCCTGTCCATCCCGTAATAGTCTCGAGTGGCCTTCAACCACAGATTTGCTCGTCCCTGCGAGGGTATTTCAGTCCTGGCAGGGACTTTTATTTCTTGGTTTTAGTCTTTCCTGATTGGGAATATAAGGTTTTCATCCACAGGAAGGTATGTGTTTACACTCATGTACCCCGAAGGGCATCCGGTATCGGCTAAAAGGCACTCACAAACAAAATGAAGCGATTCATTGAGACACAAACTTTCTCATCTCGATTACTTCAAGTCCCACAGAAACTTGACTGGCGTTTTCCATACACTTTTTTAAACAGAAGCACAGAGATTTGGGATGTGTGTGTAATACAGTAGCTATTTCAGGAGAGATTAGCTTGCTGTTTAATCCAGTCACGGAAAAGATAATCGCAAACACATAAGAGCTTAGATTTCTTCCACTAAATTGATGCAAAACAGTATTTCTTAAATTCTACTTTATTTTTTCATCCCCCATATGAATGCGGTAATTGCATTCACTATGGTGGCTGTGTGTTGTAAATATATACATATCCATTGATGTTAAGTAAAATTGTGCCCATTATACATGGTAAATATGTAAATAATTCAGACACGCTGCGTTCACTGGAACGTTTCGTGAGGAATCAGGTGCATTCATAATCACATGAAGGAAAAAAGAAAAGAAAACGTCAGGAGCATTTGTATTTTTCCCGTTTCACCCACCCAAAACCCTGGGCTTTGGTCTAATTCCAGTGTCCCTTCAGGGTCCCTTCCAGGATTCCCAACAAGCACTTGAGCGCCAGCTCTGCGCTGGGCTCAGCACCGCGCAAGGTCGGGCCGGGAAGGGGACGCGGAGGAGCCCCCGACCCTCGGAAGGGGGCGCTGGGAACTCCTACAACCACGAAATAACTTCGTTGAAGAGTTCACACTCTCAGAGCAAATTATTTGTGTTTTTTAACTCCGATGGTCCCTGGATTCTCAACCAAAAGTGCTTCTTCCTCGGTCCCCAGACTCTTCCAGGCCGGACGGCCCCGCACCCCCCTTCGTGGCGCAGTCGCACCCCGAAACGCCCGGGAGTGGGGCAGCCTTCTCGCCCAAGTCCCGCAGTTTCGGGGGACGCGGAGGTAGCCCCGCCCTTGCCGCCCACGCCTGTTCTCCCGCAGCCACAAGTGGAAGCGACAGTTTTGCAAACCCGTGGACCTCGGCTTTGGCGCCCAGAGACTTTCCAGCGGCGCTTTCCCGGGGGTCTGCTCTGCACCTGCGCTCGCCCGCCGCCCGCGGTGCGGGGGGGCCGCCCCGCCTCCAACCCGACACGCCTCCCACCTGCCCCGCGGGCCCGCCTCCAGCCCTCCCCGGGTCCCGGGTCCCGGGTCCCGAGTCCCGGCGGAGGTGCGCAGCCCGGTGGCGCCCCGAGCGCCCCGAGAGCGGGCCGCGGGCTCCGCGGCGGCCGCGCGGGGGGGGGGGGTGCGGCGGGCGAGAGGGGCGGGGCGCGGGCTCCCGCCGCCGCCCGCAGCCGCCCGCCCTCCTCGCGCAGCCAGCGCTCCGCCGGGCTGAGGACCCGGGAGTCCGCGGCGCCGGCTCGGGGCTGCGGGATGGGGAGTTAGCGCCACGGCGGCCGCAGTGGCCGCAGCGCAGCCGGCCGCCGCCGCCGCCGCCGCCGCCGGGCCGGTCCCGCCGGGGACGCCGGGCGCGGCCAGCCCGCCCCGGAGCCAGGCCCGCGGGCGGCGGCCGCGGAGCCGGGCAGGTGGATGCTGCTGGAAGATGGCGCCCTCGGGCCCGGGCAGCGTCAGGCGGCGGTGCCGGCGGGTGCTGTACTGGATCCCGGTGGTGTTCATCAGCCTCCTGCTCGGCTGGTCCTACTACGCCTACGCCATCCAGCTGTGCATCGGTGAGTGCGCCCCGCGGCCGCCGCGCTCGGCCTGGACCCCCGCGCCGCGCCCGCGCCGGTCCCGGGACGCGCGGACCCCGGGCGCCCCGCCCCGGAGACCCCCGGCGCCCCGACTGGCTGCCTGCGCGCCGGCCCCGCGGCCGGACACGGCCCGGGGAGCCCCCTTCCCCTCGCAACTCTCCGGTGAGGGAGCCGCCTCCACCCCAGCAAACACGCAGCCCCGACACCCCCTTCGCCCCCCGCGGGCCGCGGTCGGCGCGGCCACACCCCCCGCCGCAGCCGGACGGCGCCCGGGGACCCGAGTTCGCGGCGGTCGGCGGCCTCCGCCGGGTGCGCCCGGGAGGCTGGGCCCGGGACCCGAGCCGCACCGCAGCCGCGCAGGCGGCGGTGCCTGGGCCTGGTTGTCACAGCTGCCCCTGGCTGGGTGTCCTTCATCTACTTTTGAAAAATTGGTGGCAGCGCTCGGGGCGTTTTTGCCGCCTTTAGGATTGGAGGGTTGCCAGTTGGACACTTTGTGCCTGCGAGGAGATAGGGGCGGGGGAGCTGCTAGAAAGTGGTCGAAGACACGGGCACGATTTCGACGTTAATAGCAAACAAACCAGAAGAAAAGAGGTGGACAGCCGAGGTTTTTCTATCCAGAAAGCCAAGTGGCTCAAGTCCAAAGTGCTGGTCTCCTGAATGGTTGGGGAAGGTACTTTCTATGCTGAAGACTGCAAACATAAATAAGTAAATAAACAAATAAAGTTGGTTGTGCACAGGGAGGGAGTGTGATCACGTCCCTTCAGGTAGGCAGGCAGAGATTTTGTGAAAGCTGATCTCTGTTGTCGGCCCGTGGCTTGTGAATGCTTCTAAGAAAACGCCTGTTTCTCTGTCTAGCCAGCACAGACTAGCCTTAGGTGGGGCCAGGAGGAAGGTTAAATGATGGCCTGTTTAGTGGAAGCTGCTCTGCATAAGCCCTCTCAGAGTTTCAGGATTGAGGCATCTCACCTCAATCCTGAGGTCGTAGAGGTCAGAGTAATCCACAAAAAATAACGACTGACATAACTTTTAAGAGAATGGGGAACTAACTTCCCCATTTGTGTAGTTTAAAAAGTCGACATTATTCCTTTGTTTATTGAATTTAGAAGTATTTCAGAACCAAAGTGAGTCTTTTTTTTTTAAGATTTTATTTATTTATTTTTAGGGAGGGAAGGGAGAGAGAGAGAGAGAGAGAGAGAGAGAGAGAAACATCAATGTGCAGTTGCTGGGGGTTATGGCCTGCAACACAGGAATGTACCCTACCTGGGAATCGAACCTGGGACACTTTGGTTCCCAGCCCGTGCTCAATCCACTGAGCTACGCCAGCCAGGGTGAGTCTTTTTTTTTTTTTTTTTTTTAACAGGGAGGGGTTGGGTTGTACTGAAATCGTGAAGACAGTGCATCTTAATATATTAGTCACGTGAAATGTACAGGAAGAAAGTTTTCAGAAACATGTTTGATTTTGGTATTAACTGTTACTAGTAAAATAGCTTGCTTTATTGAGATATTCTGTCTGTGTTATATAACAATTGGAAGCCTTTGTAGTATCCCGTCCCTTTCCCTCATAAAAGCAGTGGGCAGTTTCAGTTCATGTAACTGTGCAAAAGAAGGGAGTAACCGAAGACGCTGGTTATCAACACAGGCAGCTTATTCTCCTGCATCGCCACGTTAAGCTAAGAAGCTTAGCTTGATACCACGTCTCTCACCCATCAGGAGGAAGCCCAGAAAGGCACGGAGGGACAGTTTTTCTGTCCTTACAGCTTCCCCTGCCCCCGGCTGAGATGCACATGTAACAGTCAGGGGATGGGGTGGGACTCACTGGAAACTCGCTGTTATATTTGAAGGATTTTTTTTATGTGTGGGGCGGGCAAAAGTGGGCTTACAGTTGTATGTGAAACACAAAATTGATTCTCATGTTACTGTTTTCATGACCTGTATGTCTGCTTCCATACGAACAACTGTAAACCCCCCTTTGCCTCACCCTGTATATTTTATATACGTTTAAGATAAACCTAAAGTGCCCATGAAATCTTCATGCCTATTTTAGTCAGTGGAGATTTGACTGAGAGGGAGAATACCTCGTTCGGAATTGCCTAAGCGGCACGGCCTATTACTGAACCCTCACCTGGCGATCAGAAATGAAGTCTTACACGACTTCTCATTACTGCCTGCCTAGCCTGGCACAACGCCTGTCACGTCAAAGGCAATCCATAAATGGCTTTGAATAAAGCAATACATGATTCAGAGGCAGTATCTCCAAGGCTGTCAGAAAGTAGTTTTTGTATTTTTATTGCTGTAGAAACACATAGTAAAGTAACTGTATGAAAGATCCAGATGGCAGAGTCTCGAAGACAGAATAAGTTGAACATGAGCTTGATTCTAGAGACGATGGCAGTTTAGGAGAGGTGAGCTCTGAAAGCTTGGGCAGGTTTGGGTGGGTAGGACGTGGACATGAACTGTACAGTTTCTTTACAGACTCTGGGGAAGATGGCGACTGCTGTGGCAGACACCCCAAACCAGCCTCCTCTCCTCTTCACAAACAAAGCAAATGCCAGCGCCAGCCTTTCCTACCCACCCACCCCACCCCCAGCAGGAATCACATCTCAGACTGCCTCGCCCTTGTGGATTTTTTTTTCTCTTGGAAGTTGCTATTTATAGTCATATCTTCCATAGTTCACCTATAAAACGTTGGCCAGGGTTGGGACCAGAGAGTAGAGGTTTGGGGGCTGGGAACTGGACTGGGTAAAAAAGAATAGAATAATCGGAGTGATTTGCCCTGGTCCTCCTCCTGCATCTGCTGTCAGCTGGGATGACCCTGACTATAAATTACCCTGTGCCCTTTGCTGAGTGAACTGCAATTTAGGAGTAGTGCTTATCCTTGGTATCCTTGGAAACTGGAGATAATGATTCTCATTACAGTTAGTTTCTATATTTAACAACGTGGATGTGTGTGGCCCTCTGGGCACTTTGTCAGTTAGCATGATGTTTGCTTAGTGTTTGTATTTTATAAAAATAAACTCATATTTCTTCTTGAAATACATGTATGTAAAAACTAGAGGGGAGGTACATACATTGTATGAAGGTCAAGTGTTTGGGGTCAGTTGCCTTCCTGTTCTACCAGAGAAAAGCTCCAATAGGACTGCTGATACTTGCAAGCGTTCAGAACATGTTTGTCTAGTGTGTTGGTTAACTGGGCTTCTTTATTCATATTATTTCCTGCCCCCCTCCCTCTGTTCTCCCTCCTACTGCTCTCTCAACCCCAGCTGCTTTTGTCTTAAAGTCTTTTGATTCCTTTAATTATTGGGTAGCTTGTGCTCCGTCAAGTGAGATAGATACATTCAGAGGGCAGCACTTGGAAGCTGGTGCTGGGGGCTGCAGCATTGGAGGGAGCGGAGGCAGCCCGCAGCCTCAGGCACGCCTGGGGCCACAGACAGGCTGGACGCGGTTTGTTTGGGCCGCAGATCCGCTATGGGAGACAGTGAGTTGACTTCACTCGTGGAAGAAGGGAACCGGAGTTTTCCCTTTTAACTGCTAACATTTAAATTTGTTTTAACTGTTTTAAAGAAATCTTTTTATTTTGTCATACTTTCGAATTTACAGAGAAGTTTCAAGAATAGTACGAGAAACCTCCACACACACGCCCCCTCACTTAACCATGCCTCATTTTCTCTTGCGCTTGCTTCAGTCTTGTGTTGTTCTGTTCAGTGACGTGCTGTCCGAGCTGGGAGCCTGTGGGCAGTAGGCCGTTCACCATGTAGCCTTGGTGTGTAGTAGGCCGTCCCATCTAGGTTTGGGTAGGTAAAAACTCGAAGACGTGTGCACAATGACAGAGCTGCCTAACGTTGCATTTCTCAGAAGGTATCCCCTTCACTAAGCAGCCCGGGACTGCTCGACTCTGCTGTTGCAGCGGAAAAGCAGCCTCAGACGACCCTGGAACAAATAGCTGTGCCTGGGTCCCAGTGAAACTTGACCCACAGACGCAGCTAGCAGAACCGGACTTGGCCCTGGGGCAGGAGAGTGCTGACTTCGGAGTGTGTTAGTTAGATAGAGGTCAGCCCACTGGAACCGTGGGGATTTATTTACTCACAGTTTGGCAGTCTTTATTAAGAACCCTCTCAGATAACTGCAGCGTCCTATCTTCCACAGTGATTACTGACGATGTCCAAGAATTGCAAGAGTTAGTCTGCATACTTGGGGATCAGTTGGGAGATGCACAATCCTGCTTTCCTTTTTAAAGAAACAAATATCCCTAGGACAAAATATGTAAAACCTCCTACCTGGGTACTGTTAAGCTCTGATCTATAGTTAATCCAAGGCCAGTGCAAGCTCAAGGATGGGGACTGAGGGGGGCTCTAAGTTGCCTTTTATCATGAAGTGTATTTGAGCCGTTCAGAGAAAGTGGTGTGTTGTTGGTGTTGGTGGAGTATTGTTTACACAATTATGCAGGACGTTGAAACTCTTTAAAGAAAACGAGACAGGTTGCTTTAAGAATACAGATTACTATCTATAATTATTAAAATAGTCTTAAATGAGATGAGGGCACATACATAGAAAACCAATGCATATAAAACGTTTACTGTCTAAAACACTAAGAATTTTTTCTTATTGACTTTAATGGTGCAAAGTATATTACTTCTGTGACTTTTCTTGATATTGTCAAATATTTAAAAACTTTAAAGTCTGTGAGCATAGCTTCAAATTTAACATTCAAATGTATAAAATATGAGATGCTCCATATTCTTGGTCTGTGCAGCCATTTGATTTTAATATAAATGGTCCCTGGGAAAGTAGAAGAAAAAAGGGCTGCTTAATACTATCTTGGTTCCATTTAGTGTGTCAGAAAATTCTCTCTCTCTCTCTATATATATATATGATAATTCAGCATTATTGTCTGTTGTTAAATCCTGTTAGAGATAGTACATGCAAAACAATTACCACAGTGCTAAGCGCATAGACGTGCTTAATAAATGTTGAATGAATTA